TGTGCCCTGGAAACTTTGACAATTCATTAGCCAGATCTTTCTGCTGTGGGTAGTGGGTGTGTTGATCCTTCACACACTACCCAATGCTTATTAGATTTGTCCATCTATTTGTGCCTTAAAAATGTGGATTGCTGTGATGTTCATGAGTCTTAGAAACTGCAAGAAGGGAGTAACTTTGCCGCAGGCCTCGGTGCCTTTCAACAGCATATGCTGTACAGAATGATAAAGTTGTTTTCAACTGTCCAGTGTTAGCTGGTTCAGAATGAAATCATGTCAGTTTTGTTTGGATACACTACAAACATATTAATAACAAACATAAAATGATTTTCCATTCATGCAAGATTTAGACTACCCAGAGAAGCCTTTCTTTACTGTAGGTGTTCATCAGCCTGCAGGAGAATACATACATTTCTTGCAGCATAAAATAGCACTAGTTGCTGTAACTCCATAAAAATAATCTTGCTCACTTATGAACACATCAAAACTCCTGTTTAGTCTTCAGGCTTTGTTGCACAGTTTGAATGCAAAGCCACTTCAGCACATCCCTCTGCCATGTCAGGGAACTGAAGTCACAGCAGCCTGCCAGGACCTTTCTGGGTCTTACCACTTGCCAGATGAGAATGTTCTCACTGTGAAGGGATCATCTAACTTGGTCATCTCAGCACCTCAGTTCTGTTGCTCACATCCTGGAGCTGGCACACAGCTGGGAGTAACTGTGAGCTTCTGGGTGCTTGCAAAGGGCTGCCTTAAATGGGGCATACAACATCACATGGTGTCAAAAACTACTGTGTGGTTGTCTTTGTGCCTCCCACCCAGGACTGGATTTAGGTCTGAAATAATTTCCTTCAAAATTGTCAAATGTGTTACTCTGCAGAGAGCTCTTTTTGTTAATTGGGTTATCTATGTGATGAGGACCTGCTTTTTATTCGTAACAGCGTGGTGATCCACTGCTAAATAGGAAGTTGCATGTTGGAAACTAAAGAAACATTGTGAAATAATCCAGGGGACTTCATTCCTTATGTTTAATGTCACTTTATTAACAGATGAGCCTATTTACATTTTTTTAAAGATTGCTCAGCATCTGTTTGTAAGAGGTAAGTGCAGGAGGTCTCGATTGCGCTGGGGAGGGGTGAGATCAGCAGCTCATATGTGCAACTGCCCTAATGCTTCCTCTTGTGGTGATCACAGGGCTCGTACCCCTGAAACGTTGTCCGCGTGCAGAGGACATAAGGCTTTGCCTGGGTGGTGTTGCAGATACAGGAACACAAAGTGCACTAGCACTGCTCAGGACTTGTCTCTCCCTAAAACTCAGGAGGTTTTTTCAGTGCCAGACAATGCTTGTGGCTTCAGCCTTGTTCCCTCCGTGTCCCAGTGCTTTCCTGTGGCATGCTCTGAACACACCCGTGGGATTGCTCACTGCTTTGGGCACTCCAAAACCTGCTCTTGCCTGGGTTCAATAACACTTACTATTTTGAAGTAACACTTCACAGATTTTTAAAAAAGAGAGTTTTGGAATTGTTTCAATTAGGCCGTAACCCCAGCCTCATTAATAGGCCTTTCCCTGCCTGTGATTAATCCTGGCAAGTCCCGGGCTCTGTTGCTGCGGAACAGGTCGAGCGATCTGGCGTGCTGCAGGAGGCAGAACTGGTTCTGCTGCGGCTTGTGCCGGTGAGCAGAGGCCGCCGCCACTCGGGGGGAGGCACCCGCCCGCCTGGCCAGCGGGGTCACGTCCTGCCGGGGACACGGGCCTGCTGCAGGCGGGGGTCGTGCACCCTCTCCCACTTCCCTTCCTAATCAGCCCCGTGAGCTTGGGGAATATAAAATCCGTCCTTCCTTCCAGAATTTTCTTCTGCAATTATGATCATTTTTATGTACTTAAGCAAAAAATGAATTAGAACTTTATTCTGATGTAGCATGGAGCGGGGCAGGGAAGTAAGCCTTTGTAAAGAGGTGAAGTGATATTGAACACACTTAAAATATATTAGTGGGGAGAAAATACAAGTTATGGCAAACTTCCTTTTTGACTACAGTAGGATACTTTAGGCTGTTAGCTATCACGTTTTCCAAAATGCCTTTTACCCTTGGTGCAAACAGACTTGAATAGAGGGGCACCAAAATAACAGAGTGTGTTATGTTGAGCAATTTTCTGTGTTTAGAAAGGTCCAAGCACTTGTGAACCGATAGATTTAAGTTGCATCAGCTCCCTGGCGTCAGATACACTCTGGATTTATCTGCCACGCCAATTATGCTGCTGCAGCTACAGGGTGTAGTTAAAGTGGTAGAGCCTCCTAGTGCTCAAGGAGGCTGGAGTAGACCCATTCTCTTAGTAGTACAGTGAGAAAATGGGAATAAGGGGTTTTTTTGTGAAACGTATACTGCTGTCACACTCCTTCTGGTAGCGACAGGCACCGTATTCTGTCATGGACTATAGCTGTTGCTAAGAAAAATGTCAAAGGAAAACCTTAACTTTAGCAGGCCCACAATGAAATTTTCTTGTGTAGATGCGTGTTTATTCCAGCCTTTCTTTAGAGTCATCCAAGTCACCTAAGTATGAGTGATCTGCTGTGCCTTGCAATGGAGGGGCAAGATTGTGGCATTTTGTTGTCACACAGCCTGGGCTGTTCCACCCTGGGGCGAAGAAAGGGAACACCTCACCTCTGCCCATGCCTCTATTTTGGCAGGAGGAGGCTTAGAACAATAGGCTAATTAATCCCTTTCTTGCAACCAAACTCTCACTGAGGGTAGATTGAAAATTATCGTGTTACAACCTTGGGTTCATGGCTTCACATGTTTAAGTGATGTGCTGCACACAGCTTACATCTTCCATGGGCAAACGAAGCAAGTGCAGAGACTGCTAAAGCAGAAATGTCATTGCACAAACAAACAGCTTTTCGTAACTTGGTGGTTTTGTTTTGAACAAGAAGGAAGTAGAATTGGAGCTGGGAGGAGTAAGAGGTGGAGATGTCGCTCTCCAGAGCATCAGAAAGTGTTATTCCCACTTGGAGAGACTTAAATCGTTTTCACCAAAATCAGAAACAACCACGCGAGATTTGGCGCCACGGTTTTGGTTGTTAGGGGAGGAGCCCACATCAGCCTGCCACACCAACTGCCAGACAGCAGGACCACGTAGTCCCAGTTCACAGAGTGGACAACCAGGGAGATTAGCTGCTGCTTCTGCACCAGAGCAGGTGCACAGTTGACAAATCAGGTGCTTTCAAGTCATCTTTTTCCTTGTAGAGTGGGGTTTTTTTGTTAAACCAGGAATTCGGCCAAAACTGGAATGAGTTTCTGGTTCTTCCCATTGCATAAAGACCTGAGGAGAAGATACAAATGGAAACTTGCACCTGTTTCTCCAAGATGGCTGCTTGAGGTCTGCATCTCTGCATTTGAGGGAGACAGAAGAGGGACAGGAAAAACGAGGCCAGCATTAGAAGCAAGAGGTTTTTATTAGCTTCCGATATTTTAACCCTACCTACGTAAGCTGCAGCTAGAACCAAAAAACATATCTTTGTAAAAAGACTACTGTAATCCAAAACAATCCATAATGTTTTCCGCATGTATTAGAAGCTGAAATTCAAAAAGAACTTTCCAAGGTTTCATTTTCTAACAGCATCTTCATAGAGATAATATCCAAGTTCTCTTCCTAAGTACAGATACAAGGCAAACAAGCATCATACAAAATAATCTATGGAAAAAGTAGTGTAGGAGGGAAATCAAGACAGTGTAATAATCCACTAGCCAGTCACACAGGTTAAATGTAGCACAACCATACCATCCATGAAATATTTAAAAATGAAAATAAATTAAGGTTACATCGTAGTTCCTGCTTTATTGTTTAAATCCTCAGTATAGTACATACCACTGTATTATAGATCATGACAAAGACTTAGCACTAGCATTAAAAAAGTTGCTACAGGAAACCTTTTATGAAAATAAGACTGAAGATACTCCTTCACACAACTGTATGATGGCTGTAGAATTTCCACTGAATCAGTTATTGAAACTAGGGCCATTTGTTTTTAAAATTGCTGTGAATTTCTGTAAGATCTGGGTGGCAAATCTGAGCAGCCATGGAAATGGAGATGTATGTCAAGGAGCAGTGATCCATACACTCTGGCTGAACAGATGCTGTCTTAGCCTTTTCATTGCTTAGCTGAGCTGTGCATTTTGTTCTCCCCGGTACCTGCACCCCAACAAGGATGCAGTTCTGCACAGCACATTTTTTGGTAGCATTTTGACATTTTCTGAAAAATGAAACATCTTCATAAGGCCCCAGTCCCCATGTGAGCAATGTGAACACAGGCTTAAAAGGCTTTGTGAGTGTGCTGCTTCTACGTCTTGTACATGATACTTCAGACTCCTTTGTCATTTGGAAGCTAACTGCCTGTATGTATCACCATAGTATACTGCTAATTGTCTAGAAAACACCAGTAAACATCCCAGCTCACTATTACTACACTTCCCCCATTACCTATAACTGGACAGGAAAGACCTAAGTGGTGCTTTGTAGGACTTGCTGTAGGGACTTAAAGTAGTCCACCAAACAGGAAAGCAAACACCCTGTACAGCCTTTGCAGTTTTGTAGTATCGAATGGAGAAAACAAAGGACTTTAAAAGGTATTTAGAAGATGTTTTATCCAGTTACGAGCCTCTGATACTACAGTGAACCATCCTGATGGATTCTTCCCATTATGCAAACTATAAGAAGGTAAGTGAATGTTTTTGTGAAAATGCTATTTCCCCAATACTAAGGTCTTTGCTGACTGTGAATTTAGATCTGCATTTAGTACATCCATCTTTTAGAGGAGAAAAATATTTTAAACAAGTACCCCAAGCAGTTTCTGGTTTAACTATATCAAATCTTCAGTGTTGAACCTAAAAAAGAAGAAATTCTCCACAAAATGATGGTTAAAAGAACAAAGAGTTTTCACTTGGTTACTGCATGGGTGTTGCAGACAAGCTGCACCTCGAGAGTTCATTTCAAAAGGCTGCAACTGTGTCTACTGTCCATTTTCTGGGTTTGTTGTGGTGGTTTCAGTGCCAACAGGTTGCACATTGTCTTCAAGGTTGTGCGCATGCTCAAGGAACAAGTCTTTTAGTACACTCAGCTCCTTGGTCAGGAGCTTGATTTTTGTCTCCAAACGTTCATTTTCTTCTTTGAGCTGGTTGACCCTCTGGAGCGTGTCTTGTGCCTTCTGCTTGCTTTTTAACCGGCTCTTTTTCACCGCCATGTTGTTGCGCTCCCGGCGCTGGCGATACTCATCGCTGTTCCTGTCCACGAAGGAGTTCTTCTTTCCCCGTTTGCTGGGAGGCACGGCTTTGCCTCCGCCACCGGGACTGACGGGCACCAGCTGGGGAACCTGCTGCAGACCACTGCTGTGTGCTTGGCTGTGAATCACGCTTACTCCGTTCGCATCTGTAGCGGTGTTCTGCTGGGATGTCTTGCTCATTTGGGCAGGCTCTTCTGGGACACGAGAGACTTTATTTTAGGAGACTGAAAACTGTTACGTTTATAGGTGTTTCCAGCAGATCTTCACATGGATTAAGCACAAGGTGAACCTAGAACAGAAAAAAACCCCATGCTGTTAAAGGTACTGGCTTCAGCTGCAATCGTACACATCCCTGGTTTTAGCATAAGGTACTGCCTGATGGTACATCTGGCAGTAACACACTGCATCTGTGCTGGAAGTGGACAAGCTGCCCACTGCATTTCAGAAGCCTCTCAAACATATTTGGATTGGAAGGGACTGTTACTGGGTCATCTAGTCAAGCTGTCTGCATTGTTCACTGGCTTTGCTCAGTTATTCCAAAGCCATCCCTGATGGATGGGTGTCTAGCCTAGCCTTGAATATCTCCAGTTTCACAACCTCTGTCTTGGCAACAGGTTCCACTGTCTAACTTTTCCTCCAGTTATATAAATTTGTTAATTTTCAGAGTGGAGTTTTCATTCTGCAGCTTAAACCTATTACCAGCCTGACTCTTGACCAACAGGAGTACTTGATCCTTGTCCTCTTCAGACCATCCCTCTGGGTGTATGCACAGACAAATTCCTCTCCCTTGTCTCTTTTTCTCTGGAGTGAAGATGCTCAGACTGTCCATCTTTCCTCGATCATGTTACGGCACTTGCTTTTTTGATAGCTGTTTTAAGGTCTCACTAGTACTGAATGGAAAAAAAACAATCTATGGAAAAAGGTAGTGTGCTGGAAGGGCTGTGACTGAGTGACATTAAAGAAACCCCTTCAACCACAAGCAAGGTAAGACAGGCTGAGCTTGTAATGGTACTGAAACAAGCAGGTGGGACGGGAGCTCAGGGTGATGGCAATGTGAGGCTCACCACACCAAAAAGACAGGGGACTGTTGCCACCCATAGGAAGACAGCAGCCATAGCTGACTTGTCCACAAAATGCCATTCCCCTGCTACAGCTCCTGCAGCGGTCATTGTCCACTCTCCTCTGCAGCAGACAAAAGGCCTGACTGAGCAGGACACCGTCTGGCCTGGCACGTTCTCCTGCTGCTGAGGTCAGCGTGCTGCTGACCCTCTGGGTGGCACCAGGACTCCACCACAGCTGCTGCAGGGACACAGCCCTGGCAAGGCTAACAGCTGCTCCCCTTCCCATCCCATCTCATGAGATGACCTCCTGGATGGCTGGGAGAGAAGTCTGAGAGGGGAGAGGGGAAGGACAACAGGGTTGTTCCAAGTCCCTGAAACGCCTGCCTGTGGCTCCAATGAGAAATACTCGGTGACCAGCCCAACAAGTATGAATGTCTCCACACGTGAAAGAGAAGTATCTCACTGGCATAAACCAGTCCGAGATCAGGTGGCCGTGCAGCGGCGCAGGGCTGCCGCACGTGCAGCGCCACGTGACAAGCACCAACATCCTCCTTGGCCATCCTCCAGAGGACCCTCTGGGAGGGCGAGCGGCTGGAGGCAGCGGTGGGCGATGCCAATGGCCCGTCAGCAGCAGCGTCCAGCCCAGGGGTCACGGCTTGCACCACAACAGCAGGGGAGATGGATGACTGCACGCCTGTCTCTGCCTGATGAATGGGTCTGGTGGGGTGTTTGTAAACAAGCTGCTGTGTGTCATGGTCATTCCAAACTCACGGGTTCATCAGCTCTTTACAGTTTTGTTTTTCTCAGCAGTAGGAGTTGCTCTTTTACCTTCAGGCTATCATGAAAAAGGTTAAAATTCTACTGTTCTGATCAACTTCAAATTTTCTTCCGTAACAAGGGAGCCAGAACAAGATGCATCTGCAGAGTGTGATGCAGTAAAATTCATGGGAAAGCCTGGTAAGCTTGGCTTGAATGTTATTCAAAATTAACAATCTCGGTCACCAAGAAGTCTTCGCACCTAAAACCAGTGAAGAAAATGTGGGTACATCTACACCCTGCTATCAAGAAATCTTTTTAATTGTCTTATTTCAGGGCAGAGACCATTAACGCTTTCTGACATCTGTCGCTAAATTTGTATATCTATTACTATACATGCCTAACCTCTGTATTTAGTGTTTTCCTGATTTCAACTCTTAAAGCAACTTTTGCAAATCACATTGAAGTCTTAGATTCTGATGGAATAAGCCATTTGGCTCAGCAGTTACACTGAGTATACAGCTAACTAGAGGTCATTGTGCAGATACCAGGCTGTAGAGGCTGTGTGATTGCACAGACACGTTTAGTCAAGATGCAAGTTTGTGCTCCTCTTGGAGCATATATTGGCTTTGTCTCAGCTTCAAATACAAGATTTCTGTAGACCACCAAGGGAATGTAGCTCTGTTAGATTGCCTCTGACAACAGAATTTTTCCACTAACTTTTGGCACCTTTTCAGACTGAATGCTCTCCTGTCCCTCTATTTCAACACACTGCACTGCTTGCTAGCTTCATCTGGACAGCCCAGTGAAGTAACCCATACCATTTTCACAATCTGCTTTTTGGGCTTCGTGAGATACTAGAGAGGAAGGGGTGGCTCCTGCCCCTGAAGGCACTCCACCCGACCTGTAACAAGTTTCTTCACATCACCAGGTTCCACGTGCTATTTCCTCTCTGTGCTATCAAAACTATTTAATACTGCTTTAACATTCCCTTCAGATCTCTATCCAATTCTCCTGTAATTCAAAGGAAAAATTATTTGTGCCATTAAACCAAATTTCAATGGAATTTAGCTGGGCAATGCACGATAGGAACAGAGATGATGAACTGGTGTCACACCTCTCGAGCAAGCATTCTAACCCTGCTAGAACAGATCTCCCTCAATTCCTTCCCACTGGAACTGATCCATTTTGTATCAAAAAAATGTTTATAAATTACTGTTTATTGACACACGCTTGGATCAGGCAGTGAGACAAGGCAGCAGGCATGAGACATACAGAAGGGGCTCTCAAGAAGGATGAGGTAAAGGTAATATGGTAACTGGGAGAGGCCAGGAGGGTGGGGAGGCAGAGAGGTCTCAAGAGTTCCTTTCTCAGACCCCATGCCACACAAACGCAGCAGCTGCTCCGCTCCTCTCCACAAACAGGTTTCCTGTGAATGGGCGACAGCCCCAGCACAGCGGGCGGCAGCTCCTCAGAGAGCCAGACCAGTTTCTGAGCATCTTGTTCCCATAAAGCTGCTCATTAGCTTGAGCTCAGCAACAGCCCTAGGCTGGTTCCACCCAGCACATGGTAGTGTTTCCAGGGGCCAGTTAGAACTGCCTTGTTCTCTCCTTGGGCCACCAACTGGCCACCCAGGACACCAACTGGCCACCCACTACAGCGTAACAGCTGGTAACTCAGAGGTGTCTTCTTGTGCAGAGATGTTTCTTACTGTCTGACAGCACTCCTCAGGGACCACAGAGACTCCCAAGCAAATCAAGGCCTTTATTATTTTTGCTTGCATTACAAAAAAATAAATAAAAAATTCAACAAATTTTACTTAAGCTTCCAAATGTTTGTTTTGGCAGCAAACAAAAGATGTGTTTTTTAATTAAATCAGGATTTTTTTTTTTTTTACTTAGCAGCAAAAAAAATAAAAGTGCTTCTCTCTGCTCCTTTTCTGAGATGTGACTGTGCCGATTCTAATTATTCATCAGGATGACTTTATCACAAAAATTCACTCAGCAAAACGCAAAACCAGTCCCAAGATAAACAGCAATAGGTACCCTTCCTTCTCCTTGACTTCAGTAGGAACACCCCAGTAGGAGCTGACTAAATCCAGATGACCCTGTGCAAAGAGGGACAGCATAAAACTCCACGGAGGGCCCATCCTGTGTGGCTTTCTGCACACTCACAAGTTACTAAGAGCTGATGTTAACTCTCACATACGGAAGGGTAGGCAACAACTTTTTTGTGACTAGGTAGCTCAAACCTATCTGTTGCCATAGCTGACATCACTTTCCTGTATTCTTCTCAGAATCTCCTTTTTCTTTCCATACAACTTACAAGAAAAATGCACTCCAATATCCTTGAAAAAATGTACTTGGAACTTCTAAAGTCTGTATTTTAACTGCAGGCTAACAGCATTGCTGACGGAATCACAAGAGGCAAAAAGGTATCAATTTCACTCTGTCTTTTGAATTATAATGGGATCAGCTACTTCTACAGATGAACTCATTCCTTAAATCCCAAAGTTTTTCAAATTAGGACAGTTTATACTTTCTGAAGAGGTGTTATAACCAGCATGGCACTGTTACCGAGGGGAGTTATTGAGCTGTCTTCATCACTGCTATTTCCCACCAGACGTCAGAGCTAAGACCGGTGCCTAGCTTTCTGTGACACATGTTTCAAAAGTTGTGTCTAGCACTATAAAAATTTGTGGAGAACCGGAAAGATTGGTCAAGCCGCTCAGAACTCCACTGAGGCTAGAACGGAAGAACGCCGGTTGTTAACGCACGGCACCTGAGGCGGCTCGGCGCGGCTCCGGGACCCCTGCGCGCCCTGGGGTGCGGGA